TCACTAGCGCTTTCTCTTTTTTCTTTTTTTTTTGAGAGAATCCTAGCTACAGATTTTTGAATGTATTGTAGTGGATGCAGGTCTGTTTGTTTTTTCAGGGATTTCAGTACAAACAGTGTTACAATAGTCCAGACGGGAGGATATGAAGGCGTAGAAAAGAGTTTCTGCATCGGTGCTGTTAACCATGAGGCGAATGTGTTTCGGAAGATGTTTCGGAAACGGATAAAAGACCTGTTGGCCTAGTCTCAGGTGTACAGGAATTACGTTTGCTTTCCTATAAATGCATGACATAAAGCGTCACGAAACACTAAACTACATTGTCTGAGATTTTAACAGAGGTGTTCGTATCGCACATCATAAAAAACAATCTTTCGATCCGTTAATTTGAACTGTAGGAGAAAGCCGGTTAATTTCGAGCTTGTACAATACAATACACATATACAATAGACATTGTCTCAAAGCAGCTTTACAGAAATATAAATACAGTATACAGATATCAAAGGTGCGAATTTATCCCAACTGAACAAGCCACTGAGTGGCGACGGTGGCGAGGATAAACTCCCTAAGATGTTTTAAGAGGAAGAAACCTTGAGAGGAACCCGACTCAGAAGGGAACCCGTCCTCATCTGGGTAACAACAGATAGTGTGGAAAAGTCCATTCATGAGCCTGCGTGTTCTTATCCTATGCGAAGATGCTCCCTCTTAACTATTCCTGACAGCACGTGGTACTTTCCTACAGATGTAGTAGATGAGAGAGGTGTTCAAATGGGCCGCAGGTGTTTGTTTCAGTGGTGTAAGTGTTCGAGTGTGTTTATTCGGGAGAGCGATGAGAATTGGAGAAAGCTGGATTTTCGTGCAGTTTGTGTCTACACGATGATGCGGTACTCGGTCCCAAGGACTTTTGAATCCCTTCAAATGAGGTATGTGTCTAATTTTTAACCATGACAGTTTAAATCGCTTAAAGCGGCACGGGCCACCACCACGTGCTGAACTATCCAACGAGAGTCCGAGTTGACGGGAAGAGCCTTCATCTTTTTATTCGTGAAACACTCGAGCCTGGTACCTAGCTACCGTTCCGACACTCCTCTCATCCGCCCTGCCTTTTATGTTTTCCACCATAGTCACGCCAGGGTCTAATCGTTTAAATAAACAGTCTAGAGGACCTGCACCGCTGTCTACTGTGTCTCCATTTAGCCCTGGGGATTCAGGAGGAGAGAAGGCCTCTGCTTCATCTGCAAACTTTTTCTCACTATCCATTTTTATTGTGAGTGTTCTGAAGGCCCGCCCCCTTCTTCCCTGCCACGCCCACTCACCCTATCGCACACCCGTCCAAGCCCATTTAAACTGGATTTTTCAAAAAACATTAGGAGGTAGACTTGAGCTGAAAGAAGGAGGTTTCATGACCCTTTAACAGAGACCCTGACAGAGTGAAAGTGAAAGTGTAGTTTTCAGCCTTCCTGTCTCTCTGCACTTGAACAGATCCTCCACAGATCACACCACAATCCTCCTGGGCTTTCATTGGACTTCAGAATGCTTCCCGGTATGTTTTCTACACTAATAAACACTGTTGCATGGCTGATGATGATGAGTTTGTATCTCTGTGCTCGTGGAGCCTCGGAATGTTTGCATGTAGCATTATTGTAGCCAGTGAAAGAAAAGGAATCATCTGTAAATGATCAGTAAACACTAACAGCACGTTTTTAATCCTGACGAGTTCATTATTAAACGCTTATAAGGATTCATTTACAGTCCTGACTGCTAAGCTAAGATGTTATGATAATAATTATGCACGGAAGTGTGTGTTCTTACAGCAGGGTTTTGTTTTTTTTGTGCAATTTTGTGTCGTTTTTTTAACGACCATTGGTGGCGCTGTTTCTCTTTTCTTGTTCTACAGCAGTCAAAAAGAACCCACTTTAAGAGAAAATAATCTGATGTGAATGCATTAAACCTTATATTAGTGTGTTTGTAATCTCTGAAAGCCCTGTGAGCACATTCACACCAGTCTATCCTGGAGACAAAATCCCCAACACCTGACAATATCCATGATGTTGTGTATCATAATGCTAATGGACAGTATTGTGAAATCACTGAGATCGTTATATCGCCCAGCCTTATAACGTAGTGCTGCAGTGCGGTCATGGGATTACGTCATATGTGTCTCTTCATAACTTCCGTACACTTAATACTGTATGTTTTTCATTCCGTGAATATAAACCATGAAGCGTGGCTTTCTGAACGATTGCACTGCTCATGTTCTTGTGTATTTATTGTATATTTATGTTCTGATCTCTGATCTCCAGTGCGCAGTGTCTACCCTCTGGTTTTAGGGAAAACCATGAACTCCGATAAGCACTTCATGGATCATCTCCGTTCCAAAATGAAGCTACGTGAAGTGGACTCGCAGAACGATTGTGATGCCGTCATCGCTTTCGTCCCGATTGTGTCTCGAGCTGGAACGGACATTCAAGCTGCTCTTGAAAAAATTCCCAGTAAACACACGCATTCATGAGGCTGCTTTCACATTTGACGTTTTCGTTTTTTTTCCTCAACTGTAAGACCACATTTTTCTGTCGTCCTACAGGAACGCTGCCTTCTGTGTTTTGTGGGAACCTAAAATTCCAAAAAAGTCCAACTAAAAAAGAAAAGTGACATCAAGCACATTTTTACCTGCCTGAACTCATCAGGTTGGTTAGTGAGTGAAAATGAGACGATTTACCACGTAGAATAGAAAATATTTGATCTGGCAGGTTGTTGCAGTGTAACATAAAAACATCAAAACAGTGTGTATTGTATGTTTGAGATGTTCAATGTGGTCAAGTTGCATAAAAACAAAGCTGTAGCGAAGACAAAACAACCTCCTGATCACCAGAGTTACACCAATCTTTATTTCATCTTCATTACTGATAATAATACATCTAGTGTAGAAAGTAAGTGCGAAACTAGCTAGGACTGGTAAAAGCGTTGTCATGGTTGCAGTGTGAGCATCGCAAGCGGCGATTTATTTTACATCAGCCGAAAAATGTTCAGGTCGGCACTTCAAATAAAAACAGGGTAGGTGTGGAAGCAGCCTTTATTGAAAACGTCTGTATATAATATATATTTAAATATGAGTTACATATGTTATGTGAGCTCTCTCTCTCTCTCTCTCTCTCTCTCTCTCTCTCTCTCTCAACAGAACATTCACACAAGCGCATCGTTCTGGTGTCTCTCCACCACACATTTGATCGTGATTACATCGCACCAGACAGCAGACACTCTGTTAAGAGGAATGACGTGTTTGCTGTGGACTGTCTCTATCATGAAGACACGGGACTGCTGAACACCCGAACCAATGATGAGGCACTGAAAAGAGTGATAAAGCATCTAGGAGGAGAAGCACCATATAAGGTCTCTGAGAGGAGTCTGTCGATTGTGAGTAAAATGTTCAACATCTGCCGCACTACGGTCACTAACACCAGGATACCGCCGTGATAAACGCTACAGCCGACGCATGCGCTGTAATTTGGACATTTTTAAAATGAACATATTTTATACGATTCATTTAAACATGCATGTTATCAGAATTTATCATAAGTAATTTTAATATTTTTCTAGGTTTTGATCTGCCAGTGTGTCGTACAGGAAACTGGTGTGCTTGTGTGTGTAAACCGGCTCATTTCATTCTCTTCCCCTGCAGGGTGCGAACAAGACCGAACTGATTCCTTGGTTATGTGCCGTGCTGAGCAGCTTTCTTTTCTTCTTAGTTCTGCCAGAAGAGTACAGCTTCTTCAACATCTTCATTTTTGAGATGTTTCTGCTGATTGTCATCTATGTGTCCATGAGATACTACAGCCTTAACAAGTGGACTCTTTGGATTTTTATTGGTATAAACGGTGTTTTCATATTCGTTATTCAGTTATTCACTAAGGAGTCTGTGCATGAGTTGAATAATGTCACTGTACAGAGTCAAACCGTGTGATTCGGATGATGTGACTTTGCCTGATATTGTGGTTATGTGGTTTAGAAAACTTCATTTTAAAATGAAAGAAACACTTCTCTGTTCAATAATAAACTATAGGCATGGGGGACAAAAATGTGTTCGTTTGTGGTTTTGTTAAATGTTAATGAGTTAAATGGGGGAAAAAAAAGTTCATTCAGGTTTAAGAGAAAGATTGAATTTAAGATTATATAGAAATAAACTCTTAAAGAGAAAATTAAATAAAATAATATAAGTAAAATACACAGTACTGTGCAACAGTCTTAGGGACTCTGTTTTTGAGTATAAATTTGGTTATAGATGTTTATTTGATGAATCCTGCGCTATCGAGTCGGTACAGAAACAGTTTAGATTTCCAAACATCACTTTTCCAATAATATAATGTTGCAGAAAAATGTCTACGTTAGAAGAGAAAGCAACGTATTACATAAGAGACCACTTTTCAGAGGAAAAAAAGCACAATGAAGGGTTTTGCATGCAAAGAAGAAGAAGAAGAAGAAGAAGCAAACATGACAGTCTCCAGAAGAAGTCAGATTCCCCAAGATGCTCAGCAAAACAACAAAAGGAACAAGAATGTGTGGACAATTGTCACAGGGTGTAATCAGGGCAAGACTTATGGAGGAATGCCGAAAAACAAGAAAGTTCTGAAAGAACTAAAGACGTCCTACCCAAGCATGCAGATCCGAGTGTCTACACCCAGGATACACACCACCAACACAGCACGTTTGATAGGTTTCTGATCATGTGACCTTACCGGGAAAACAAAATCAAGAGATTAGACTTATGACATTTGTTTAATTTTATCATGTCAAGACCAGTATCTCTAAACTAGCAACACCGTTATTTATAACCACAATAAACCACAATGACCGACACCTGCAGACGGGTTCAACTGATGTACTGAAGAAGAAGAAGAAGAAGAAGACATCTTAAAATTGATAGTTGTTAATTTATTTCTATGCTTTATGTTTGTAAAGTTTATCATGGTTTAAATATAACCATTAATGTACTGTATTTAAACGTGGGCAGTGGTAGCTCAGTGGTTAAGGCGTTGGACTACTGCTCAGGAGGTCGTGAGGTCAAACCTCAGCACTCCCAAACTACCACTGATGGGCCCTTGAGCAACTGCTCAGATGTGTAAATGAAGTAAATGTAAATCGACAGCACACGCCACTGTCGGCTTTACACCTTTCTCATTCACTTTCATTCTGTACACACCTTCCAGGCAGGAGGTGGAGGCTCTTAACATTCTCTGCACTCGTGTAATTTAATTTGACATTTAATTTGTTCATGGTTTCCCAGAAACGCAGCCTGAGCTCTAAGAGTGAAAGTATGTACTCTAAGGTGTACTCTTATGTGTACCAGGAAAAAAACAACCTGTGGCTTGCACTTTGTCCTCCAACGAATTCACTCCAGAGCGTGTGACTCGGCTGAGATCCCCCTTCAAAATGACCCAAGGTATGTGTTCTTGATCAAATCTTATTGCATGATATTATGGGATATTTTGCTGATCCTCTTTAACCATTTGCTCTTTGCATGTTTTCAGCCCATTCCATTAACCCTTTATTTCCATAGTTAATAATGTCAACGCTTCTTCTTCTTCTTCTTCTTCTTCTTCTTCCTGATGTTCCGTCTTTCCAGCAACGATCAGAGTTTTTGTCAAGGTCCTTGGGAGGACCATGAAGTCCGACAAGACCTTCATGGATCATCTGAAAATTTCAACAAAACTTCGTAAAGTGAATTCGGTGAACGACAGTGACGTCATCATTGCTTTTGTCCCAATTGTGTCTCGAGCTGGAACTGACATCGCAGCTGCAATGGAGAAAATTCCCCGTAAGTACAAACATCTCTCTCTTCCTGTGTTCACAGTCAAAAAATAAACCAACTGTGGTTTACCGTAAGAAATGATTTAAAATCTTCATTTATAATTAGTATTATTTGAGTAATAAATGCGTAATTGAATAATATAAGTAGTGAATTATTATTATTATTATTACATTTTAAAGCACTATACTCACAAAGCCTTTCTCATAACGATAACCGTAAGCGGGTGTGGTTTATACGGGAAGGTTGTTGCTGGGTTTTTATTTTTATTTTTATGTTAATATGCCACTATGCCCTGAAACACTGAAAAAACTAAAATAATAACAATAGAACATATATTTTATATATATTTTAAAAATAAACTTTTACAAATATTAAACTCCAGAAAAACGTTCGATCTTCTATCAAACATGACTGAGCAAGTAAGCAAACAATTTATCTTTTTACAAAGGAAATAGTGTATCCATAGGAAACAGTATTCATTACGTAATCTCGTGCACGCCCGCACTCTGCAGCTGTCCGTGCTGCAGCGCCATCTGCCAGCGAGATCGTGACAACATGTCCTCTTAATATCATGTTAATAAACTTCTGTGTCCTATTTACATTTATTTTTATGGCATTTATGTCACCCCCCCCCCCCTCTCTCAGTGAATAAGCCTGTTGTTCTCGTGGTTCTCCACCACACATATGATCAGAATTACATCGCTCCAGACAGCAGACTGTGTGTAAACAGCGACAAAGTGTTTGCTGTAGACTGTCTCTATCATGAAGACGAAGGTCTGCTGAAATGCCTGCGCAATGACGACGCAATCAGAGCCGTGAAGAAGCACCTGAGAGGCGACGACCACATTGAGAACGACTCCATATTAAATTGCTGGTTGTGTGTTCTGGTAAGGAAAATAAAGCCTTTTAATAATTTACTTAAATTGTATATATTACTGTATTATATTATATATTACTTTTATCTTAGCAGATAATCACATCGCCCTCAACCCAAAATTCGCCAAAATTCCCACTAAATCATCACACACTCAACTCAAGAATTGCTGTTACGTTGTTCAGGCCTTCTGATGTGTTTTGCACTGTACGCGTTGAATAAAACACTCCGCGTTCCCTCGCGCTTTCTCTACGAATTAATAAGACGCAGCTTGTCATGTTAACAAAAAACTACAAAACATAAACTCCTCTGTCCTGAAGATGTTGAAAAACGTAAAGTTACATTTGATAATATCTGACTGTTACAAAGTACTGACACTGGAGACTCCTTCCAAGTCCACGTGAATGAGCTGTTACTATGGAAAGGATCGTGTTTCAGAATGAGCGCATAAATATCAACCTGTGGTGTGCAGATGCACTCCAAAACACCTTGTGGGCTGAATACAATTCTAACAGAAAATCCCAACCGCTAAGGCTAAGCTAGCAGACTTCAGTAAAGCAAGATTGAAGTGAGTGTAACACGCCTTTTAACACAAATGTTTAGCAGTTTGAAAATGCTAAAACGACGATCTCTGTCTCTAATAACATTTATCCACTGTCTACATTATTGAACATGATTCTTTTACGCAGCTACGCTAATGCTGCATGTCAGGATCGTGGAAAAAGACTCAAATTAATTGCTATAAAGGATTAAAAAAAATTTTTTTAAACCAAATGCAATACAGAGAATAATTCTGGTGTGACATTCTAGGCTTAGAATTTTTTATTTATTTCTTTTCTCTTTTTTTTTCCAGAAGGAACCAGCGAATCTCACTCGGATATTGATTGGTGTATTCGTTTGCCTTCTGATCATCCTACTGATTATAGTTATAATTAAGTTCACTTTGTTAACGCGTTAATTCATGATTTAAAAATGGAATACAGAGTGCACCAGCGGTTATGCTAGCGCTTGTGTCAGAGGTGTATCTATAATATAATGACTATGAAGTACTTTTGATAAACAGTTTAGCACTGCGTGTGCTTCACACTGTGTGTTTGTAGGGTTTAATATGAAACTGTCTGTATATGTGCTATTATATGACAGACTATAGTAACAGATGAGTTTAATTATCTTTCTCTTTAGCCTACAGCTGTTATTTGTTGCTTTGTGAGACATTTTTGTCACGTTTTGTGTAACAAAATTACATTTACAGATTAGCTTTGTTTCCTTTCCTAACCGCAGTGAGTGAATTGAAATGGCCTCAAGATTATGTGTAGTCTATGAATGTGTGTGTGTGTGTGTGTGTGTTCGATTTATATCTGTTTATGTCATGATAAGCGACAAAGTGCACATAACTCCAGCAGACTTCTGCTGTATTTCACTCATTTGATATGTTTTTATTTTAATTTTCTGCACTTGGTTTGTTCTTGCATATAGTATAATGGGTTTTTTGTTTGTTTGTTTGTTTGTTTGTTTTGTTTTGCAAATAAAAAATGGAATTCTTTGTGCCTCGCTTTCTGTTTACTCACTCACACTCACTCAGTCACTGAATTTTCCATCTAGTCTAATCACACTAGCTATTTCTGTTTCGCCTGGGGTAAATTTGGCTAGTTGAATTTAGTTAGCTAGCTGACAAGTTTGCGAGACAATGCCTACACAGACTAACATAAGCTCAATTCTATTCAATTTTATCTGTATAGCGCTTTCATAAGATGATGACAGCAAGAAACCTTGAGAGGAACCAGACTCAGAAGGGAACCCGTCCTCATCTGGGTAACAACGTATAGTGTGAAAGTAAAGGAATGTTCGTTACGGTGGTCACACAGTGAAACCCCAAAAAACAAAGCGCACGTTAAGTTAAGTATGCACTGAACGGTCACAGCTTCTCTTACGTAGTGGATGGGGAGGGACTTTATCAGGCTCAGATGCTGAACGTGGGGAAACATACTAAGATGCCATATAACATTGCCGGCAGCCATAGCCACAACCATAACTTACTAAGTTGATTTGAAATCGTGTGAGCAAAATTCGCCTGCGGAGACGATTACGCCTCCGTCTGAGGATTGTTGGGAAAAGGAAACATTAACATAAACAGTAAAATGTTGCAGTTCATTATTATTACCTGTTTGGCTATTTTGCTAATCCTAATACCAAAAATGTGCCAACTGAGATGATCCTACCCTTCTAAAATTCATACGCTCGACGGCAGAGTCTATAGTGCGTTGTATAATCGTATACTGTAGTGTATAGAATGTCATTTGGGACACAACTTAGGCCTCTGTCAGGGCTGTTCCACAGTGTAACATACCCGTCTTAAAGTTGGTTGGTGTTCTTGCAGGGTATTGAGGGAACCAAGCAGAGACAAAATGGGTGGAGCTAGGAAAAATGCAGACTAATCATTGGTCACAGAGAATTATCACAAGTCATTGTTCAAATCAGAAAACCGCCATTTTGCTTGCTACAGTATTAAACAGGAAATGACGGATACGTCTTGAAGGGTATGAATCATTAATGTTACTTGGTGACGTGCTGTTATAATTAACTTCAGGATGGTAACAGTAACTCCACTTCATCACACCACTACGTCACTGATTATTTTCCTGCCTTTCAATGCCACGCCCACTCCCCCTATCGCACACCCATCCACGCCCATTTAAACTGGATTTTTCAAAAACATTGGGAGGTAGACTTGAGCTGAAAGAGGGAGGTTTCACTTCCGGACATGCTGTTATGGGAAAATGATCAACGGGAACACACACACCATCACACCACCCTGTTAGTGGTTATTTTTTCTGCAACAACACAAGTGTTTACACACACACACACACACACACACACACACACACACACACACACACACACAAACACACACACACACACACACACACACACAAACACACACACACACACACACAACAAACACACACACACACACACACACATACACACACACACACACACACACAACACACACACACACACAAACACACACAAACACACACACACACACATAACACACACAACACAAAACACCCACACTAACACCACACAAAAAAACAAAAAAAAAAAAAACACAAAAATAACCCACACACACACACACACACAAAACAACACACAAAACACAAAATACACAACACAACACACACAACCACACACAACACACAACACACACACACACACAACACACACACACACACACACAAAACACACACACACAACACACACACACACACACAACATACAACAAAAACACACACACACAAACACACATAAAAACAACACAACAAAACAAAAACAAAACAACACACAACACACACACAACACAAACAAATAACACACACACAACACACACACACAC